TATATATATATATATATATATATATATATATATATATATACATGTATATTGAAAGTAAATTGAAATGCTATATAAAGTACTATATGAACTGCTATATAAACTGCAATGTTTGTAATGATATGTTCCTAAAAACTTAAATATTTATAAAAATTAATAAAAGTGATCATACTTGATAAATATTTATACTGTATTCATCTCATATAATTTTGAGTTTTGAAAAAGACCCTTTCAAAATGATACATTAACCCTCGTACGTGTAGCAAAATTGCACAAATAAAGTGCATGAAGGCTCCTGACCCCCAGCTGATTCCTCGCTGCACCCAGATTGAATCGCGACGTCAGAAGCGAAATATGACACGCTGAGAATTCTTGTGGGCCATTTTTAAATAAAAAAATATTTAAATAAAAAGACACTTAGGATCGCTTTAGCATACTTGTAAAATATTCCGAAAATGTTTTTTTATCTAAATATTTTTTTATTTAAAAATGATCCGTAAGAATTCTCAACGTGTTATTTATCGCCTCTGACATCGCGATTCAATATGGGTGTAGCGAGGAATCAGCTGGGGGCCAGAAACCTTCATGCACTTTATTTGTGCAATTTTGCTACACGGTATTATTCTGCCAAAATCATTTGTATTTCTGCTGCACTACTTCTTACGCAAGCATCTGCCGTAATTTTTGTTGAATTCTGCTGTATATAAATGCGTATTTCTGCAAATAATTATTAGCAGTAGGCGCTGCTACAAATCTGGCGCGATTATGTTGCACTGCAATTTGCGCAAGCATCTGCCGCATTTCTTGCACTATTCTGCTATATGTAAATGGATACACATATCTTCCACAATTCTCTTGCACGACGAGAGCAAGTTTCTGCCAACAGAAAAATAGTCAAAGTTGGATAAATAGAAAACGCATGATCTGCCCGAAGGTTAGTGCACGACTTTTCGTGCAGTTTTACAGCAGAATTGCAAAGGAATGGTTACCAAGGCTAGTCCAAATCCCGGGTAAATTACTTGAATGTTTTGACCCAAAAACGGACGAACCAATTTACTTTTGACAGAACGTGACAACTGCATAATTGAAATTTTGAAGTATGCGTCACATATACTTCATATTTTTTAATATTGCAGCTAGTGGTAGCAGTATTATTGACCCAAAATTCCCAAGCTCCTCGAGCTTGACGACCAATTTCAAATTTAATGTCTCCTCCGAACTTCTCCCTACTCAAAATGATAATTGGAATTTTAGAAAATTGTTAAATATGGCGCTCAGATATGAACACTATAGAGAGCGGTCGGATCGCTCCCTACAACGACTGCTGCGCCAGCTTCGTGCGTGAACGTGCGCGACATTCATTCCTTCAGGAGACATCTGAGTACACGGATCGCGGGTCGGAATATACATTGCTATCGAAAGCTTCTAGTTTGTGTTTGATTGTGATACGAAATAAATTGCGAAAGTATTTTAAGAAGGTGTTGTTGCTTTCTTTTAAATACAATCCTTAAAAAAAATATTTGGTCTCAATAACTTATTCAGTATAGGATAATTATTGCGCTTTAACATATATTATTCTAACATATATAATTCTATCTAATATGTCCTCGCAGAATAAGTACACTGTTGGAAAATTTGTGTTAAATATAACATAAATCACATGTCCAAAACGGTCCACTCAAATTTTTGTGTCAGTTTAACATAATATGGATGTGTTAAATGATAACATCGATACTATGTTAAAACATTTTAACAGGAAGGAAATGTTATTCTGATCGTAATTTGAGGTTAATTATGTGTACAATTAACATAATTTTTATGTTAAAGTTGAGATTGTAAGATAAAATCAACATTCTTCTTCTGTAAATTTTTATTCTTACTTCTGTTATTAAGTAAAATCAACACTCTTTTTATGTAAAATTTAACACATTTAATAAATACGTTTAAATTGTGTTACTTTAACATATTTTTTAAATTATTTTAATAATTTTACATTTTAAATTTGTAAAATTCAATTAACATAGAAAGCACATGTTAAATTTGCACAAGTATGTGTTGATTATTTTACACAAAAATTTTAACAATGACCTTTTTTAACAAAACTATACAAAATGTTTCCAACAGTGTAGATACATATATATTGAAATAGATTGATTGGTACTTTACCATATATGGAACCATTTTGGAAATGAATTTTCAATGAATATATATTCGTTTCCGCGTGTAGCTTTTCCAAGCAAAAACGTACCTGGACAAAACTTGCAGCATTCTTCCGCAACGCTGAGTTGCTCGCTGGGTGGACACGGTAGTGGTGGGCATTTGGTGTCAGTGTCGAATCTCGTGCAGATGAAGATACCGTCGTAGCACTTGCACTCGACGCATTGCTTCGGTGAGACCCTTTCGCCGTGATCGTAAATTACGCCGTGCAACAAACATTGTTCTGCGGAGGCGAACATGAATGGCGAGATAAGTAACGTGAGGCACGAGACGGAAGTGGTCGACTGAACACGAAATACTCTACGTCAATTAATCAGTCGGTTGCGTGTGTGAAAGTAAAAGACGGATTCATGTGAAAGCGACATTAGACTACTCAAGAGAGTTGTCCTCTCAAATGTCAAGAATTTATACGATGTTCTAAAGATAAGAAATATATGAAATATGAATGATAAACTATATATACTATGCGCTAAAGAAAAGACAAGAAAAAATCCTAAATGTTGTAGGATTCTTATCAAGCTTTGAAGTTATAATTATTTAGGAATCAATGGGATTTAATAAAAATATTTTCTTATTAAAAATTATCATAGATTATGGAATGTTATAGGAAAGACGTTTGAGAATGAAAGATAAAAGGATGAAAAAGACAGGAGTATAATGTTCCACTTACTGAGACAGGTCAGGCAACATTGTCTCTCAAGAATGACGGGATTCTTGCAGGTAACCGGAGCGCAGAGCGTCGACCTGCACTCAATCTTGCATCTCGTCATGGACGCAGGAACAATGTTGACAATCCTTTACCCAGGTTGCGCCGTCCTCGTGGACGGTACCATTCACCCTACAGGACTTTTGGCACTCGCAGTCCTCCACTTTGCTTATCCTGTCCTCTGCAGCGGCTGGCTGAAAGGAAGGATGTCCATAAACAAAAACAATTTGCCTTATTTATATTTTATGAGCAAAAAAATAACGATATGATTTAATTTAAAATTATCAGTTATTAGGGGAGACCGGGGCAAACTCGACACGAGTTTTTCAAAGGCAATTTTCAACAATTAATTAATCAAACAAATTTAATAGTACACATTTAAAGAGTGTTCCTTCAAGTACAAAATTGCTTAAATTTTGCTGTACGTCGCTTAGTTTTGCCCCCAAGAAAGGAAAAGTGACGCAAAGACAAATTTTCAAATTGAAAAATGCCGGGGCAAACTCGACACTTTGCCTTATCAACACAATTTGATCTGGAACTTATTTTTTATTGTCTGAAACTAAACATACATTGGGCGTGTTCAGCAGACCAAGCCGCTCAGTAGCAGTCGAACGTGATTGGCTCTTACTTTTAGAACCAACCAATCAACGCAAAGTGTTGATAAGACGAACTCAACAGTTGTGTCTGCTGAACACGGCCATTGTTTATCGTGTATTTAGAAAGTATAAAAATTTGGAATTAAGTAAAACAATCATTGGAAATAATAAGAACAAAAATTATTGAACATTCAATTATTTTCATCTAAACTCATGTCTGAAAAACAATTTATGCAAGTAAATTCGCGATTAGACGTGCGCACACATTTGTCATAGGCCATATAGCTGCATGACAAGGATCGTTTGTTATTGAGAGCCGATAAAACGACGTGGTGTCGACTTTGCCTCAATATATATATACATATTTATTTATTTATTTATTTATTTATTTACAGGTAGGAATGAAAGAGAATATAATAAAGATTATAATGTTACCGAACAGAATGTAATAGATAATCCATGGATGTAAAATTATTTCTTATTTGATTAATTTTAGATATTAAGACATTTGTAATACATATTATTTTCATACTTAATTTTGCTGTAATATTATTTCTTGCAAGCTTTCCTTAATATATTTTTATTATATAAAAAATACACTATTTACTCGGAGCCTCGGAGCCATTCAAAGTTATTGGTCGCTATGTCTAGTTATGTTGTCGCTATTGCTTATCGAGGGGTACGAGACCCCTCGATAATCTTACGACAAAGTTCGATATTTTATCGACAATTTTAACGACATTTATCGTTACACTGAATTACAGAATACCACTTTTTGTTATAGTGTCGTTAAGTCTGCATAACGATGTCCCTAGCTAGTAAAATTGTCGTTAAAAAGTTAGAGAATAGGCATACAGTACGGGGATTCACTAACTCCTTAACGACAGTTTTGGTATCGTTGCGCAGGTATTATATATGGTAAAAAAGCTGCGCAACGATACCGAAACTGTCGTTAAGGAGTTATGGCGTTTTCGATTTACGACTCGAACCGACTCGGGTCGCATCATGTATATAGGACTCTATAGACGGAGAGCTGGCTACATAAAAATGCAAGGTATAAGGTACATGAAATATTTATAGCTAGAGAGGTTCCATTAGCACTCCCGAACACTGAGTGACCAGTCTGCCTGCGTGCTTAGGAAGATTAAGGCGGGGGTGGACTGTCAAAAATGACAAATTTTACAAGGAAAAAAATGATAAAGTTCAGGGATAAAAATTATAGGAATGTTAAGTATTTGTTGCTACGAAACGTGGAAAATTATTGGCAGACGATTTCGTGGAAGAGAAAGGGCCGGCAGACTGCAACAAAGTGGCGTTAACTTTTGTGGAAAAAAAAAGATAAGCTTTATGATTAAAAATTATTGGTAATAATTACTAAACTGTTAACGAAGCTATGTGCTAAATGGCATACAAAAAAACTGAAGACAACATCCGGGCAGACTGTGATGAAGAGCGCGGTCTCGATCGCGCTTAATGAGGTAGTTTCGTACGATGCGCTACTATGATATGTTATTTTGTTATTTATATGAATATATTACGTGTTTTATTTTTCATTAATGGATTTAATTTGTATTCATTCTTTTTATTGTTAAAAATAAAATGATTAATTTAGTTATTTGTTATTATATTGAATCTATACAAGGACAGAGATATAGGTCGATAACATTATAGAAAATGGTAATTTTGTCGGTTATATAGACGGCTCCAGCATCACCTTAAGCGCGATCGAGACCGCGCTCTTCATCACAGTCTGCCCGGATGTTGTCTTCAGTTTTTTTGTATGCCATTTAGCACATAGCTTCGTTAACAGTTTAGTAATTATTACCAATAATTTTTAATCATAAAACTTATCTTTTTTTTTCTCACAATAATTTTCCGCGTTTCGTAGCAACAAATAGTTAACATTCCTATAATTTTTATCCCTGAACTTTATCATTTGTTCCTTGTAAAATTTGTCATTTTTGACCGTCCACCCCCGCCTTAATCTTCCTAAGCACGCAGGCAGACTAATCACTCAGTGTTCGGGAGTGCTAATGGAACCTCTCTAGCTATAAATATTTCATGTACCTTATACCTTGCATTTTTATGTAGCCAGCTCTTAGACTACTAGCATCATTGACGTGAAATACATAGGCTGCATTCGGGGAGCGCGCTATTAGCGCTATTTGCTTATTCTATCCTTGTTTTACATTTAATGAGCGATAAACATAGAATGATACAATAGCGCTAATAGCAGCCTCTCCGAATGCAGCCATACATATCTATGTATGTATTCCACGTCCATTGATGCGACCCGAGTCGGGTCGAGTAGCAAATCGAAAACGCCATTAGAGAATCCCCGTACAGGAGCGTCTCTTTCACAATTCGACCATTGAAGCTGATATTTTTAAATTTGACGATAAATGTAACAGGAAACTTTATATGAGAATTATAACTCAAAATCCGAAGCAAATCGTTATACCTGGTTACTCTTGGTCGCTCTGATACAGTCTTCTTCTCCGTGGATTTTCGGCTTCTGAAGCGTAGCGTCCGTAACGTACCGCTACTCGCACCGTAATAAAAGATGGAAGCTTCTTCTTCTTCTTCTTCTTAGGTTTAATGGCTCCTGCCTCTAGTACAAGACAATACGGCCAACTAGCGAAATAGTTGAGTGGCGAAGTCTAAAAGGCAATTACAAACAGACAGTATCAGTCGCTGTACTTTAAAAAAATTTTTCGTTAGGGCGGAACACGTCCGAACACGTTAAAACGTGTCGTCCGTGTCTACGCGCAAAACGCGTCCAAACTAGTCCGCGTACGTTGCACGAATGAAAAAATGGAAGCAAATGGAAGCTAAGAGCTAGGAGGAGACCCGCGTCACAGATTAATGGATTAATAGACAGATAGCCAAAGGTCCGGGTTGAGACAAGACCAGCATTTCTCACTGGTTTCAGCGCCATACCGTGTAGCGGCCAATGCAGTAACTACGTTCTTAAGATAAAGCGGGTCATTTTCGGACGAAGTCGCTAACAGTTGATAAGTCGCGTTTTAAGGCTATTTTCTGTAACTCTTATAACTACAGTTTCGTTATCATCGTTATATTATCGTTGGGCAGATATAATATATGATAAAAAGCTGCGCAACGACAATATAATGATAACGAATTGTTGTTAATAGTTATTAGAATCAGAGCACTGATCTCTAAGCCGAGAACTCCGCGTGACGTGTTAGAGAAGTTATATTGCAATATCAAAATTAAGTATGTTAATTGTTAGGACTTTTAGCCCTTAGAAATTTGTTATGTCAATTTGTAGTTAAAAAGATATTGATGATTAACATAGAGTCTATTGCATCAAAATTGCGACTTACATAGACCATTATATAATTAAGAAACTATGAAATTTTTCTTGTTATTCAAACTCAATAGTTTTTCAGGTTGCTAAATATTAATCTGATATTAAATTCAGTTGATAAATTCAAAATGTCGGTGCCATATAGCGGCGGCCGGATATCAAAAGTAAAAATTCTATCATTTTTATTTTTAATATCCGCTATTTTTAATTAACTTTGCCATCCGATTAATATTGCAGTTATTTAAAAAAAAACTCTTAACTTCGAATACATAATTAACCCGTTGAGGTCACACCTCCTAAAAATAACGTAGAGGTCACATGGGGTCCAACAGTTTCCATTTGCGTTCTTTTTGATGTATCAACTCAAACCTTGAACTGGAATTAATTTATGACTTCCTCTTGATAATCCAATAATTTAAAAAAATTTTTTATGTTGAAAAAACGCGAGAAAAAAAATTTTTTTTCGAGACATTTGACTTTTTTCACAAAAATATTCCTCAAAATTTTTTGAGATAGAGTAAAAAAACTTTGTGCGTTTTACTCTCAAAATAGTATACTTTTAAGAAAAAAAAAAAAACCTGGGGTCCACTGGACCCCATGTGACCACAACGGGTTAAAAAATAATTCATAAATTCTGAATGGTATATGTATATAGTTGCAACTTTTTGACGCAATAGATTCTGTGTTAATCTTGATGTTAATAATCATGCATCAATTATATATTTTTAATTATAAATATCATAAGAAATTTCTTTTAAGAATAAATAAAGGATAAATATTTTAATTCGCGATGCTTCTTTAATAAACTTATTCTATTAATTATATTTATTATTTATACTGTGTAGGAAAGTTTCATGTTTGTATATATCAATTAAAATTTCAAATAAACTTTTATGTAATTCCCCTGGTAATTTCATAAAATTAATATTTTCATCAAATTAAACTGCCAAATACGGTCAGGCTGAATTTTGTTCACCTATATAGTAACAATTTTTCGTGTGAATTTTAAAAGTATATTTTTTTGCTTTGTCAACTACACGCGCCGTACTTTTAATCTTGAAACGCAGTCTGACAAACTGAAACGTACAATCACATAATTAAATTGATAATCAATTTAACAATACCGATACTATACCTATCTCCACACACACCGCAAAGAATGTTACAAAAATATTTTTAATTTATAGTTTATAAAATTATTGATTATAATTTTTATTTTTTTTTTAATTTTAATTAATATCTAATATTTTTAATTTCAGTTTATAAAATTAATTTTTATTTTATTATTAATTTCTTAAATTTTAATTTATTAATTTAATCAAGAAATATATATATTTTTCACATATTGACTGATATCTTTCGGGAGGTCGTATCTTACACAATTCAAGTCGATTTTACACAATTTCCGGTTTTTCTGCTTAAACGCTCAGTCAGGCAACCCCGAAGCTAAGTGTCTACATCGTGTGTGTGAAGCTAGCGTCTCATTTTGCGGAAACTCACAAATTATTGAGAGTTCTGACTTCCTTTTCAATAGTTCTAGAGTTCCTGATAGTTTAAACAAATAGTTCTGGCCATTAAAACCAAAAAACACGTCAGTACAAACTGAGACGCTAGATTCACGCGGCGTCTCACTCTGTCCTACACAAGTTCCACCACTGTATCTCATCAGATTTTGCAAGATCTCTAGTTTTATAACAGTTCTATAAAGAGTTCTGCCATATAAAAGCAAAAAAATTAATTATAATGTACTAAAAAAAAAAAAATTATAATGTAACGAGTATACCGAGTTGAGACGCCAGTTGAAATCTCGGAGTTCCGGTTTATGTAAAATATTTGTCGAGTAGTTCTGAGCATATAGAAGCATTTTCTAAAAAGTTCCCGGCACTAGCAATGTTGTATAATTTTAAATAAATTAATAACGCTCGAAAGTCAGGAATTTATCGAGAATAGGGTGAGACGCTGGCCGTATTTCGACAGTTCTGCGAGTTCTATTACAATTTTCGTGTAGTTCTGAACGTGTTCTAACGTTTTCTAAAGACTTCTGGCGATAAGCGTTATTTAATCATTTTTTAAATAATTTTTATTGTCCGAGAAAGACGCATTTACGGGTATATGGGTGAGGCAAACAACAAACAATATGCAATTAAAGATTTTATTTATAGAGCAATAAACACAAAATAATATTAGCAATTTTGTAGTCATTGTATATTTTGAGATTTTTTGAACAAAGACATGGATTGGAGATTGTTCTCTAATTATACAATCAGTGTACTTGATGGAAATGTCTTTAAATTAAACATTCTACCCCAACACTCTTATAACATATATATAATATTGTCGTATGTCTTCAAAATAAACGTTTTATCCCAAAATGCTTCTCAGGTATATTTTATGTACAGTTTAAGCTAATTCCTTTTGTTTAACGAATTGTTTGAACCCACCTTTCTTAAAAAAAATTAAAGATTGTAAGTTATTATTTAAAGTTTCAAGATAAAAGAAATCAATTTTTAAGACAATTTGTTTGACAATTATTATTATATATATTTAAAGAATATAATTTATTATTATCAAAAAATTATTTTAAAAATTTGTATTTATATACTCTTTAGAGCTGTCTCTTTGAAGCATTCATTGCACATAAGTCTAAAATCCTAAAATATGCATTCAAAGTAATAAATATTACATACATATATATTCATTGTCAGCATTCTCTCAGGACAATTGTAGTAATTTCTAATCGCCAACTTTTTCAAATATTTATTTAAAAAATTTTTAAAGTCTTTAAAATATATATACGCACCTGAATAACTAACACAAGGTTTTTAATATTTTATAACTCAGTGATTATTTAAAATAATTCAATTAATAAATAATTTTTATTAGGTACATATTATTAGTCATATTTTAGAAATAAATAAATCATTAAAAATATTCTCAATTTTTATTTTCAAAAATATTGTGTAACAGTACAATACTGTTATATTTTATAAAAACTTTAAAGACTAAAGCAATCAATACTTGACTTTAATATTAAGAGAACGTGACTTTACTTTGTAATATTTTTCTCTTCTTAACCCTTAATGTGGATCTACGACGTCCGAGCCAAAGTGATATCTGTTCATAACTGTAAAACTTGCAAGCCTGTCAGAAGATATGAAATAAACGATGGTATTTCAAAATGACTATCGTATATATCGTATATGATAAAACTATCGTATGTGATAAAATTGTCAACTACAATGTAGACAGATGTTTCATGAATTTTTGTAGATTTTTTAAAATATTTTGAGGTAGGAAAAAATAAAAATAATTAATAAAAATCCGCGTATTAGTATGCATTCATATAATTCGGCAAAAGGAGACAGTATAGTGTTACGCAATGATTGCGATTGCTATGCGCGCGACAAGGCATTAGAAGAAACGATGTCATATGTCACACGTCGCTTGCCACTCGCTGTGTGACTCTACTTCTTGCTATCAGATGATGCTCACCTTTGCTAAAAGACCTAATTGTAAACCATTTTACATGCCTACAAGTCTTTTTATACGTCCATTTGCTCAGACATTTTAATCAATACCCGGGAAAAAACCTCTTATTTGTTCATATTAGTTCATATTAGTAGATATATGATCATATAAGGAATGAAAGATATAATCTCAAACAATATTATATGGCCATATATGGGAATATATAATTATATAGGGCTATCATATATGTATGATTATATACCCAGAAAAAAATACCTCTTATTTGTTCATATTAATAGATATATAATTATATATGATCATATAAAAAATGGAAAATATAATCTTAAACAATATTATATGGCCATATATGAGAGTATATAATTATATATTGCCATATATAAGCATATATGATTATATACTCGGGAAAAAATACCTTTTATTTATTCATATTAGTAGATATATAATTATATATGGTCATATAAGAAATAAAAATATAATCTTGAACAATATTATATGGCTAAACGTCTTTAAGTATAACTTTATATAGTCATATATGGTCTTATACTTATATAGTATATTATCATGTGTGTGATCATGTAAAAATATATTTATAAGGTTAAAGATAATCATATATGAATATATATATACCCTATAATGGATCTATATTATTTCACTTGACAATATGAAATTTATGAGATATTATTTCTAGTTTCAGTTTACACAATTGCGTTTTAAGTCCGACAAAGTCCATATTGGCACGCAGTGCCAATTTAAAAAATTGAAACATATATTTAATAATAATTGATATTGTGAAATATTATTAAGCATCAAGATCCGTTCGACCGAAAACGGCACTTCTCATTGCTTGTGTTATTTTAAGTTTTTTTTTTTTTAATTTTGCATAAGATACTTAATTTTTTTAATTGACATATTAATTTTTATTAAATGTTTTTGTAAACAGTGAAATTACCTGTAATAATTCGTG